TGTACGATTTAGCAGTTATAAAGAAGCTAAACAAGCAAATGAAATAGGTCAAATCTCAAAATAAAGTTTTCTAATCAAAATTTTTTCTAAAGAAATATTTAACTTTTTAATTGACTACATAGCATATGCTGTTTTAAATTTTACACGCCATAGAATTATTGATAAAAGTGGCTTTGCCGAATCTAATATTTCTACATATTATATATTTTTTAAAATTTATATTGAGCAAATAAATTTATTATAATAATCAAGGTTTTTATACAAATTTACAAATTTTCTTTTGTTTTTTTTAAGTCTTGATAATATTTTTCACTGCAGTAATGAATGAAAGAATGTATGAAGAATGCAGTTGTAATTACTTAGAAGCAATTAATTGTTATTCAAGAAGGGCTGGTGCCGATAAGAAGCAGTCCTTAAGCGGCCTGGCTCATATCGTTGTGAGGTAACTCTCGCTGAGAATGCGCCTCATCGGTGGAATAAATGTGCACACGCTGTTCGTTTGCCATGTGCCGTTGTTATCTCTGGCTCTGCGATGATGGTTGGTTACTGTTTGCCTTTTCTAATTACTTGGTCAGCACTGGAGAGAGTTTCAAAAGACCTCCTTCACAATGCAAACATTAGCTTTTCTAAATGCATCCAGCTCACAAAACTGCTCCTCAAACATCCGCGATTGCCTGATGTGCATTGGAAAAAAATCGTCTCGAACTCTGAAAAGTGTAGAGATAATTCGGGCCGATGGAATTTGTTGTTACCAACGATTATTCATTAGCCGCTGGAGGACCTTTTACGGCGGGCGACGCGGCGTTAGGTAATAATTTGAAGATTTCATCTATAATGACTTGTCTGTATTCCAGTCATAACTTACACTTTCAGGCTCTCTCTTGCTCTCTTCTCACTCTGAATGCATTTGCTCGTGCAGGCAGCTGCACTTGCTCTGTGCACCACAGATAAATCAGTGAGGAAAACTATTCCAAACAGAATTTTCTATGGCCTTGATACTTTGAAATATTCTCTTCAACAACCTGCTACGCTTCCTGCAGCTCTTTCAAAAGTTCATAAGAGACTAATTGGATTTACGAGCTCAACTTGCCGCAGTGAAGAGCCTTCTAATTGATTCAATGGGAATTTAATTTGGCTTGGGAAAAAGAGATGGAAATGCAAATCACGTTTCTCTTCAATTTTATTTGCTTTGAAGACGTTTTCGCATTATAACTGGTTTTCGTTTTGTACAAATAATTCACACAAAATAAAAACTAAAGGATGGAAAGATGTTTGAGTAATGAAAAAGACAAAATAAAAAACGGCAAACAGAAAATCTTTTAAATTTATCCTAAGATGGTTTTGGTTTAATTTTTAAATAAATTAATAATGTAACAAAGTCTGAGCAAATCTTTCATAAAAATTACCAAAACGTTCATTTTAGTTTAGAATGATTAAAACCACAACAAAAGTTCATCCCATTAGCGTAATCTTTTCAGTTGGAAAACTTTCATTTTTCATCTGCGGCGTTTTCACCATCAGCGCAGTTTAAACACTTTGAATGGCGCGACTAACTTCTTGTTCGTTAATTTTTATAGCCTCACATTTTATCGGGCATTTGTGGCACACACTTAATATAATCGGATGAGAGTGTTAAAAATGCGCGTGCAAGTGCAAGTGCGGCGATCATTACCGATGCTGCGCGGACGCGGCAACTTGCAGCTCGTCGCGCCGCGTTGGGAAATAGAGAAAGCGACCATTTGAAAATAAAAACATAATAGAACATACTCATTAACGTGCAGTGTTCACTCACCAAGAGCACACTCCACGTGCCTTAATTTGTTTCAAAGTTTTTAGCGAATAAATAAATTCGCAGTCGCTCGGACTTGTTTGGCTAATTGCGTGGCACTTGTTTCGGGGCTTACAATTAGATCAAGGCAGTGTTTGATTGATTTTGTTCAAATTAAGGGCGTAAAAGTTTGTTGATGTGCTAAATTTAAGGGATAGATAAAGAGAGGTGCCAAAATATCAGTATTAGTATTGCCAGTTAAAATCTTTCTTTGAAAAAATTAATCGTTACAAAATTCTTTCTTTAAAAAATTAATTGATATCCGTTTATTCATCAAAAACTTGATAATTTTAGCTAAAAACTTGAGATTTCATCTCGTCTTTGATATATAATTAAATATATCTTTTCCCCCATTATTTTCGGCTTCCTTTTCATCCCTTTTTGATGGCCGTTTTACCGCAGGGGGTGCACTTCAGCCTCGCTTGCACTTTCTCTTTCCACAAACGGAGCAATCAATACACATGTGTAGGGAGGCTGCTATTAGGAAAAGAGCTCAAATAACGCTGACGAAGCGTATCTATCACACTGCAAGCGGCGAACATAATGGGAATAAAATATAACGAGGCGCAACCCCGCAACTGATAAAACGCCGACCCAGGTCTGGGAAATTTTCTCATCCCTCTTCTATATACTTTCCCTTTGCGTGGGAATGGAGGTGGTGCAGAAAAATAAAATAAACTTGCGCCGCCTGCAATGTTGCTCCAGTCAACAGAGAGAGCATTGTGAAAACACAACAAACGCACACAAAGTGCGAGGGAGAAATGAAGCTCATCTCCAAGCACTTTTCTTCTAATACTTGCACAGCAGAAAATCTTAGTTCAAAGAAAGCAGCTGCTGCTTTTTTCTTATTGTAATTCATGCAGCGCGACAATTAATCTTTTCCGAGCTTGTACAAAGTGACGCATCGCGGTGAAATTAATGAGTAATGCGCAGCGGGTGCTTCGCTTTGGCAATTGGGCTTTTCATTTTTTTTTCATACGCGCAAAAATGATCTTTTGTACCAGGAGTAGCATTTGAACACGTGCAGCTGCTCCTCTTGCAAAATGCACTGCAAGAATAAATAGAAAATGTTGCGGAATTTTTGAGAAACCAATGATCTTTGATGTTTTTAATTCTTTGAAACAGAAATATATAAACCCTTGAACTCGCAAATGACGTGCAAAGCTGATGCTGATTTCTCTTGACAGAAATATTAATGCTACATACCATCGAAGAAGCAGGAATGGAAAAGCCAGTTTTATGTACTTTTAAACCTTTTAATCATTATTACATTAAAATAAATTTTAAAGTTTGGGCTGTTGACACGTTTTTTATTTCTTTATTAAAAATTAAAGATCGCTTTAATAAAGTAAATCTTAATTAAGAAACAAATAAAAGTTTTTGTCTGGGTAAATTTTCACAACATCCATAAAAAATTTCTGGAAAAATTAACTAGGCAATTTTTAATTCTTTGAAGCCAGGAAAATTTACTCTAAGAAAGCATAAATCTGCTTATGAGTTCTTTCTAAATTTTTACTTAAAAGTTTTGCAACGGCGAATCCATAAAGAAGCAACATTATGAAAAGCTGCATTTATTTTGCTCTTTGCGTGTTTCCTTTCGGCTCCACGTGCTGCATTCTGCCATAATGAAAGCGCGCATTTATAAAAATAGTCTAGGACGGCGATGCATTTGAAAATCGCCGACGGCAGCGCAAATCTCTTTTGCGCCGTCGGCCACACTCCCAGATTCTGCTATACAGGGTTGGTTGCGCGACGCTTTGATTCAATTTCTTTGCCCTTACACAAATTGAAAGTGGGTCGGGGGGCGCGATGGGGATTCAGGGAAGCAGACGATCGAGGGATGATTCCCACACTCTCTCTTCTCAAATCACGACGGCGGTTGATTTATATTCTCTCTCCTGGTCCATCAGGGATGATGAAAGGGACGCACGAAAGTGAAACCTGCTGCTCCGAAACCACCTGCCGCACCCTGCTCAGAATCTCTTCCTTTTCATCACAGGCATGGGAAAATTAAAAAAGAAGAGGTCTAGATTGATTGGGCACATCCGAGTCTAATTTATTTAATAGCAGGGGTGTGAGAAATGGTTAAATTTTCTATAATAATATTTGGAATCTAAAATATAGGTTTCAAGATTAATTAAAAAAGTTTTTTTTAAAATAATTTCTTGCAATATAATTGGCAGAATTGCGCAAAATTTATAACTTTTTTAATTAAAAGTAAATAATTATTTGCTAGTAAAAGTTTTATTACAGAACGAGACTTTTTTAAAAATTCATAAGGTATATGGGTATATACTTTGATAAATGAGTAAAATAAAATTATACTTTTGAATAAAAAAAAATTATAATAAAAGTGGTAGAAATTTCTTTTTATCACAATGCAAAAGTGTAAATTGCAGTTATAAACTTTATTTTTTATTAAATATTAGAATATATTACAGTTTTCAAATTTATTAAACAACCCTTAATTTTTTTCTTATATTTAATATTATTGAATTTTTTATTGAAGCCAGTTAAAAAATGCCAATTGAATAATCATATTTTTAATTATGCCCTTAAAATCTTTCTTTTATAGCTGTTCTTGTCATGTCCTCTCCACATTTCCCCCAATAATTATTCTTCTCAAAATTTCAGCCCTGCAAGAAAGAGGTTCTGCTCAATAATAAATCATCAAATTATCCGAATCCCGCGAATGGCTCATTTTCCCCAAAAATCCGCGAATCCTCAAAACTGCGCGAAAAATAAACACTGCACACCAACCAGCCATGCACATTTAAGTATCTAGGCTTCGTGCACTACGTGCGAGTTGGCGCGAAAAGGGTCAATACTAAACAGATTGCTCGCGCGTTATCTGCGAGATTCGGGCGGCGTCCGTTTAGACGCGAAGAATTTCGAGGGAAAAAAAGCATTTTATCTCTGTGGGCGCGTGTGTGTGTTGTGCATAGAGCACGGGAGCCAGAAGGCTAAGTAGGTCACTAGGCTAACTAGCCAGCCAGCGACAACACTCCCCTGAATCGAGTATTATTCAAAATCGCCCCCACCGCGGGCTCGGCGCGCCCCACCGCCGGCCGAAAAGGCCCGTGTGCGTCTGCGGGCGGCGGGGAAGGCGGCGGCGGCCCCACGCGGTCGCCCAAGTGAACGCGTGGTGGCGCTCGCTGCTGCACCTCCTAGCCTGCCTCACTCCGCACATAAACATACAACCGAGCGGCGAGTGTGTTAGGGCGCAAGGCGGCGATGTGGGAAAGTAGGTCAACCCTACTTTTAAACTTCACTTTCACTTATTACATCGCCTCCTAATCATTTACCGCTGCAACACCCAGCAGTGCGGACGCGTCTGCGTTTCGGTCCCAGTGTCAGTCTGTGTGCTATAGTGTGCCTCCGCGCCGCCGCTCCAGGATTATTTTCATTATTTACCAGTGTCCAGTGGTGTGCAGTTTTTTACTCTATCCGTCGCGATCGAGGGATGTGGCAGGCAGTGATTTACGCCAAAATCGATTTCAATCTGCTGCACTTGACCCTAGTGTTATGGTGTCCTGATTTCTGAGAAATCTCGCCCACATTTTCGTCCCCCGAGAAAACTCTTTGACTTTTTTGACTGTTTTTCCCAATCGGCGCCGCGAACTGATATGTTATTAGACATGGATCACCACTCGCTCGCGTCCATGAACATGCCGCCCTTTTACCTGAGCCAGTCGCTCTCCGGCGGCAACTCGAGTCCCCCGAACCAGCAGAACCTCTTCTCGCAGGGCTCCTCCACCTACATGACAAACAACCAGATGAACAATAATTCGACGGGTGGCGGCGCCGCCGGCGGCGCCAACACCCCGTCCCCCACAAACGGCTCCCTGCTGATTCACTCCTTCAATAATTTGGATCCGACCTGTTTGTTTGGCTCTTCAGGAGGCCCCGGCGCCACCGGCATGACCGACTTCGGCGCCGCCATGGGCGCCGCCGGCGCCACCTCGCTGGCCGCGGCCGCCGGCACGCCCGACCTGCCCGACACCAAGGACATCATCGAGGAGCTGTGTCCGGTGTGCGGAGACAAGGTGTCCGGCTACCACTACGGCCTGCTCACCTGCGAGTCGTGCAAGGGCTTCTTCAAGAGGACCGTGCAGAACAAAAAGGTGTACACCTGCGTCGCCGACCGCAGCTGCCATATCGACAAGACCCAGAGGAAGCGCTGTCCGTTCTGCAGATTCCAGAAATGCCTCGAAGTCGGCATGAAGTTGGAAGGTATGAACAAAAATTTATGTTTTTCTCTAACTCTGTCGTTTTGCATGGGAGTCAGCGTGGTTTTTAAAATTCCAATTAAATACTTTCAAAATTTTGCTCACTTAAAGATATTTCCAAACTTTGGATACAAATTTTTATCTCGGGTTATTCGATCCAATCCGGCTAATCTTATCGTACTGCAAATTGCATTATTCAGCTCATTTATTTTCCTTTCCGAAAATGACGAATCGCCCCACACGTGGGCGGCCCTTCTTTCTCAATCTCTCAGGGTCTCGAAACGCAATTTGGCGTCCTGACTGAGTTAATCATCCCTCCCGCTGCCAATTTCGCCTTTCTTTCTCCGCCCGCACCAGGCGGCGGTGTATCCAGCGAATGTAATTAGTTCAGGGTCAAACACACCACGCTGACTCCTTAATGGCACGAGGTTTGTGGTAGGCCTGTTGGGGATGGCTGACCTTGCCGTTTATTATTGCAGTAGGGGGTATGGAGCGCGCACATCGCTCTTTCGGCTCTTTGGAAAATTATTTTTTTCCTCTTTCGCTGCACCGCGATTCCACCGATGATATGTTTTATAGACAGAATAGCAGGATGTGATGACGGCGTCCCGGTTTGCAAAATCACGGGCTGCACTCGCGGAAAATACTTTTCCAAACCGTGGAAAATTTTATAACTAATTTTTACCGCATCAGGTTCTATAAAAACTAAAATATTATCAAAACGTAATAATTTTGGCCCATTTAAACACTGAAAAATCAATTTAATTTATTTATTAGTATTGTTTTTATTCATTATTATTCACTAATCTAGTCAAAAATGAATGAGCAAAAATTTTATTTTTATTAATTTCTACCTCAACTTTTTTTGCCAAAAGTGGTTATGAAACCGAAGCTGAGCGCATCGCAAACGAAATTGAGAGTCGGCAGCTCAAGTAAAAGCCGGCCGCGCTCATTTTATTTATTATCTAACAAAGCGCAGAAAGTGTGTCGCCCGCCGCGCGAAGAAATGGAGAGTGCTGCTGTTGAGGCCACGCGCTGACTCGCTCGCGAATATTATTCACTCTGCACGAGTTTCCATGAGTTTTCCTTATGCGCTGGTCCAGTGCGGCGGATTAAGCTTGCATGCAAATAGAGCAAATAACAATAGTTATAATGGACGGGTCTTCCTTTTGTCACCCATCCATCGATTGCAATATTGCCAGAGTGTGTGCAATGAGTGCATTTCGCTACATGCATGCAGCTGATGCACTTTGCACGTGGCTCGAACTAGGGCATCTCGGAGCGCACAACCAGATAAATAACTCGCCCGGCTGCGAGTTTCAAAACTGAAAACCACGTGATAATTAATAATTGCCATTGTTGACGCGCCTGCCTAATTGGCCGACTGCTTTAATTGGAGACGGTCCCGCACGTGTCAAATCGAAAATTTGTTGTCTTGGCTTCGTTTGGTTTGATTGAGTGATAATTCAACATTATTTTTATCCACAGTAAACAGAGTGCAACGCCAAATGGTTCGATTTTAAATAGCAAATTTCGTGGTAGTTTTCTGCAATATCGATTTTTGAGCCAAATTGTTAAGTACAGGCACTATAAATAAGTAAATTTTGCAATATATTAAAAAATTACTCCGATAAAAGAATTGCTAGAAAAAATCGACTTAGATTTTTCCGGAATATATTAGTTGCATAAAAAAAAGGAGTAAGTTTCCCATTTCCAATTTTCCAATTTGAAGGAATTTTTTTTATTGATTCCAGTAAATTTCAATTTTTTTTTACACTTCTTGAGCATAAGAAAATTATTAAAGTTTTGAGCTTCTGCAAGGCCTCCCACCGACATCAATTTTCAATCTGATGCCTTTGCGAGGAACGCACTCTTGATTTATAAGCGTAATGCACCATCTAATCGGGATTACGAGGTGCAATTTGATTGCAAATGAGCTCGAACAATGAGCACGGCCATTTTTTACAAGGCTCATTTCCATACTGCACGCCGGTGGAGAGATGATTTAAAGAGAGACGTGTATGCATGTAGGGCTTTGGGAATTTATTACCACTCTCCCTGCCGTATTCAACAATAATAATAACGACCAGGCTTATTACGATTCACATTCATGTAAGTTAAGTTTGCATATGTTATTCAGTCCAGGGAGTATTTTTCCGCCGCTAGAAACTTTTTACACACGAGTTTTTGCGTTAAGTGGAAGCGCAAGCTCGCTTTGTTCTGAGAAAAGGCGGGTTTTGTGCTTTTTCTCACCGGGCATTACCAAAGAGATGCGTTTCCCAACTATTCACTAATTTTAGAAACCCGCCTGCGTGACCCGTTTTTGGCTCAAAAAACGTTTTTATAAAATTATTCCTGGACGTCGCTCCAGACTCCCGGTATGACCAAGGAACGGCCGTGCGAGCACATTAATTTCATAATTTTATAATGTTTCACATCATTTTTACTGTTGAGTCTCAAGCGCTGAAAGTAGGTCACGCCGAGTATTGCATACTATTGCTTCAATTATGCCCACTAATGCTTGACGGGCGCTTTATCTAGCGTCAACGCACCGTCCTAACTGAAATTTCAATATCTTCAATCAAAAAAATTGCCGAAAAAATTCTATCAAGTTAAATATTTGATTTTGGAAAATGGAAAATGTTCGGAAAATATTTTGAGAAAAGATGTAGTTTTTGCAAATTTGCGGATGTTTGGTCTGAGCTGCTTTTCAGCACGTGCTTTTTTGAGCAGAATTGCTGCTAAACGAGTCATATTAAAGACTTCATTATAAAGCCGCGCGGTGTGGTAAGTAGGTCGAAAGCAAGAGATGCTGCTATAGAACTCGATTATGTCACGGCTGCACGCTCTCTCCATAACACTCTCACTCTCAATATGAAATAATAGTGCCATTACGTTAGCACTTGGTTTTGGGACTATTTCGCGCTACAATTGACACACCAGTTTCCAGACAGAACCGAAAAAATTCCAGAAAATTTCAGTAAAAAATCTTAAAATGAGATAAATCGTCATTCACTTTGAACAAAAGAGTGAAAGAAAATAATTAAATTTAAGAACAAAATTTTACTTAAATTTATTTTATTTCTTGTGCAATATAGGATGCGTTTCCCTTGGAAATAGAAATGTGCGGGTCAGAAATTGTACTTTCCGCCGATGCACTAAACGGTGCAGTCAGATTCGCGCAAGGTGCGCGTTTTCCACAAAACTCTCCAGCCCGTATATAATTAGAGAATTGTCGGAGTGCATTGTTGCTAAATTGCGAGCGCGCGCAAACGGCGGCTCTATTATGTTGTTAAGTAACTCTTAACGCAAGCACCACTTTTTCTCTTACTTAGCCACGCATTTTTTCAGCGGCCCTCTTGTGATCTAGCGTAATTAGGTCAGCCGGAGGAAGCGGTCTCTAGAACAAAACAAAGCATCCCAGCACATGCAAATGAGATTAATCGGAGGCGCGAAAAATGTGATTGCGAAATCCAAAAAAGGAAAGCATAAGTCTGTTTTTCTTCATTTCGAGCCCAATAAAAATTATGCAAATGACTTTTGAACTAGGCGGAGGAAAGGAAAAAAAACTTTGGCCGGACTGCTCGGAACGGCGCTGGGTCGGTTAGGCAGTCGGCAGCGGCGCAGTCCCTTATATGGGTCAGTGTTGCAATGCTCGTGTGCGCTACGGCACTCGTACCGTCATGTTTTAATAAAATGATTTGCACTTTTCGCGCCGTTCGACTTTCTTCCTCCCCGTGCAGGCCGAATCGTCTTTTTTTCGGCCGAAAAGTCTTGAATGAAGAAATCTTTCAAGTGATGCAATTAAGCGGCGCAATATTCGTTTTTGTGTTAATTTGCCGATTCTCTTTTTGTACGTTGAATAAACAGCCGGCTCTTTCTCGCAGAAAATAAGTCGCTGTGAGCGTTTCCTTTTGTTCAAACACGGCGTTGATTTCGGTTGATTCGCCGCTCGCAATCGACATTTCGTGAGACTAATTAGGTCAACAGCTGGACTTGTTTGCTTATTGGAAATAGCGAATCCATTCCTTTTCTACCGCTGTGCAAATATTTATTTCCATAAAGGTCAAAAGATGAACAAAAAAAATGTATTTTAAAAAAATTTCGCCTTTGATAATTGAATTCTCGGTGGGTTTTATTATTCTGCCTTTATAATTAATTAAACTGGTGGTAATTTCTGTCGACATTGATTGCAACTGAAATTTATTGCCTTGATTGGAATTTAATGAAACTGGCCCCTTAATGAAGAGCTTTTTATTTTGTTAATTGGCAACCGGCCAAGGTATGTGTTTTGAGTGCTTGTCAAGTTTGTTTTTTGCGCATTGTAGAATATCAGAGAACGGCAATCGAATCACGACTCAATCCATCCATCATGATTATATCCATTGCGAGAGTGTTATACAAGAAAGAGAGCCCATAGTTCACACACAGGCGCAGTAATTAAAACGGCGGTAGCTGCCAAAGCTCAAATATCTCCTTTCACTTTTCTATGAAATAACAAGATCCCTGCTGCACTTTGAACAAATAGTAAATATAAAATGAAAATAATCATCAAATTTACAAATGGCCGGCCAACGCAAGTGCGTGTCTCTCACGCAGCCTCATTTAAATACAATTTGATTGTGCAAATGCAAAATTAATCGTTTTATGAGGTCGATTGTTTTGAAATTGGCAAAAATCGAATGTAAAAAAAAAAAAAAAATCTTAACTTTCTTATTTTGATTTCAAAACACGTAACTTTCTTTATTCGTTCTGTTGTTTTTGTCTGTATATTTTTAGACCAAATTTTTCCGCTGAAGATGAATTTTGATTTTTTTGTCCACTTTGATGCGAATTCACTCTGGTTACTGACCAGACTCAACCGCACCGCGTCGGCCTCTCTCACAGTCGGCCGCAGATTTTCCCATAAAACGCAATCCAAGCGATCTCTCATTTTATTCTCAGACTCCGGCCGACCGCAGGCTCTGAGCGGAATATCAAATCCTCTGCTTTGTTTCTCGCAGG